CCTGAACATTTAATATATAATTTATATTAATCTTTGTTTCCAGAATTTTACAAATTTATAATGTTTAGGAATGTGACCATTAAAGTCAGTGTTGTAAAATAATTATGGATTTATCATTTGTTAATTATTACTTATTAGAATCAAACCTCATAATAATCGGTCAATTATCAAAAATTTTTAGGTATGTTATCATGTCATTGGCTCTAAATTTTAATGTAAATCTCAATAGTTTTTTTTTTTATTTTAAATTATTTATGTTAAAAGTAGATAAAGATGTTCTCAATTTCATAATTAATATCAAATTACAGAAGAATTCATCTAATATTGCTGACCYTGCTTTAAATTTAATTAGTATTATTTTAATTAGGTACCTAAGTTAGAAGATTTATTATAATAATTAAATAATAAATAGTTTTAGTTTTATGGCCAATATGTAACATTATAAATTTATAATATGTTGGTATTATTATATATTTATTCCCAGTTTTATTATCGTTTCTAGATATGATAAACATTAACTAATAAAGATAATGTATTCAATTGGTGTACTTTCATTTTGTAGTTTAGTATTACAATTTCTCTCATATAAACTAGTCTTATAAATTCTAATCAATCATATAAATATATTTTTTCAACTATATCAAAAAAATTTAAATTGTGGATAATTTATTAAATTATTTTTTCAAATTGCACCCAATTTTTTTTACCATTCATTTTTTAAGAAGTTCAAAAAATGTTGTGTTGCATACAGAAAGTAAAGTCAAAGGCATATGATGATGATGATAAATTAGAACACTTAGTTTCCAACACAGAGTACAGAAAATTAACCACGTACAACTCTTTGAAAAAACATCCATCAAATTTATCAACTCCGTCGTGTGAACAAAGGCATAGAAGACGTCTTTCAGAAACATTARCATGGTGAGTAGATTTATTATTTTGTAAATATAAAATGATTTAAAAATTAATATTATTTTAATTTTTACTAGCTACTATTTAGTATAATTACATTGGGTATAAACTATTAAACAATAGGTTAAGAAAATAATATTACTTATTTATGATTACTATTAGTTAATATTCCTATCAAATACAGTTTATGTGTGAACATATGTATCTATTATACTTTTTATTCTGTAATTAAGAACAATTATATTAAAAACAAAATTATTTTATTGACATTTT